AGAAGGACGCCTTATTTCGATGTGATATCTAATAGAAAATAAGCTTACACTAGTGTCCTTTTGAGTGTTGTGATCTTTGTAAAACTCCGGCTATTCCGCACTCCTTCACACGCTTTAGAAGGACGCCTTATTTCGAATTGATATCTTGAATAGAAAATAAGCTTACACTAGTGTCTTTTTGAGTGTTGTGATCTTTGTAAAACTCCGGCTATTCCGTACTCCTTCACACGCTTTAGAAGGACGCCTTCAGTGGTCTATATTGCTAATTACGGCATGCAATTCTTATACTTTCAGTAGTCGAACTGTTTGTTTTCTTCGTTGTAAGGCATGCCCGTCTACTCCTCCCCAGGGGATGGCGGAGGCCTGTCCCATCGTCACATTGATTTATACCATTGAAGATAATGTCATTCAATTGACCTCTAACCTGCCCTAGTGATGAAAGTGAAGTTGTAGCTGCATTACGCCGATACAGTACACAGAGTAGTCATGTCTTTCAGTTTTTTATTCATTACTGTGCGACGAAATTGTCAAATGTTCATACAAATTAGCCAATCACGAATGAGTATTTAAACAATAGAATCTGCACAAATTTTCACATTTTCCCCTTTAAAATCATATATTTTATTTTATACGAGTGTGTGTATGATCAGGAGTGAACAAGAAACAGTTTAAATCCAGAATTCACTAATTAATCTGTTATGCAGCGTTAAAAATCTGATTTGTGAATTTGTCATTTTTTAAAAATTTGCTTGGGTGGCCTTAGTTGATGTAGTCGCACTGTAAAACGTAACATTGTTGCGAATGAATAACTGGGCTACTCCCATTTCGGCTGTTCTTGGATGTTTTCAGAATACCTGTTGTAGAGAAATGGAAAAGCGTCTTAAAAATAGTCTTTATTTTCTAAGGCTAAATGATTGCCTTAAAATACGCTCCAAAAACAAAAACAAAAAAACCCTCACTCACCCACCCTACCCTCACAAATAAACGTGCTCCTGTGGTGACTTAAGATGGAAAAGAAGTTAATTTGCAGTCACGTGACCTTAACCCCATTGTGTCAAGGCCAAAAGTCCTAAAAAGTGCACTTCCATTACAGGATCGATATTAGTGAAAACAAAGTTTCAGCTCATCAGAAAGTTGACAAGGAGAAAAATTATATGGCATTGAATATAAGATTTTGAAATTTTATAAAAATTTGTATGGGGAAAAAATAATGCGCTGGGAGGGATGAGTTGTGTGGGAAGAAGAAGTATGGTATTCTCAAACCATCTGACAAAGAATTAAGAAAATGAGTTTAAATATGTCCTTAATGTCCTTACCAAAGATAGAAAGAAGGCATGTACTGAGCCATGTAAGCTCTGGAAAGTGTAGGCTGGTTAGATGGCCACACTTCTCTCATGTCGTTCGCCATAGCGACTGCCATGATGCGAGCACATCGTTCTACTGTCATCTCGTTAGGGAAATTGTTGTCCTGAGCTTCCTTATTGTAGTAGGGTGTCCCCTTGTAGGTCTTGGATGATCAATAAAAATAACAAATTTCATATTGGCTCTCCATATATAATTACCGCTGACCAATATGGCGGCGATGACGTAACTCTCAACGGAATACTCACCTCACCAGGTTTGTCTGTCAAAGAATTAGCATACACATCTGTGGTGATGTCTCCGGGCAGAACATTTAACACTTTAATGTTCCTATTGGCTGTCTCTATACGAAGAGTATTGAAATATCCCTACAGGCAAGAAGCAAACTATTGTTCAAGCGTGAAAGTAAAATTGTTTAACGGCTTATACAGAATGACATTAAAAGAGTGTCATTATTATCTGGAGGAAGACTCCAAAAGCAAGTGGCAAGGGAATAAAAAAGGTGAAAGGGGGCTACTGCTACTGCTACTGCTACTGCTACTGCTACTGCTACTGCTACTGCTACTGC